AACAAACTTTACTCTAGTGATATTGCAGCACACGGGATCTAATACAACACTTCAATCCATAACAAAAAATACATCGACACTTGATACAACTAAAGAAATATATAACAGAAACAAGAAATCAGCTTACGCGAGAGAACTATTACAACTACACAAACTAACACCAATAGACTACGAGAAGAAAGTTCGAAGATATAAACAGGTGAAGGCATACGTGTGATGACCGGCAGCGTTGTGTCCCGACGATCGGATGCGAGAAGTCGAAGAGAGTTCTGGCACGACTGCGATGTCGGCGGTGTTGCAACGCTGGTGGCTCCGGGAGGCTAGTGCTTGCAGGTGACTTCGAGCAGGTTGAGCTAACTCGAGGCGAAGTCCCGATGTCTACGTTGCAGACGTTAATATTGCGTCACAGCTAGACGAACGGCTAAGTTTAGGTGGCCAGCCGATACAGAGCCACACTAAAAACTTCTAGAAGAGATGCTTGTTGATCTGTTTCTACACCATCTTGTCAGCGACTAGTCTGCCTAGCAGGGCAAATCCTGCGCTTAAATCCCCCTCGTGTCTCCTCGCTCTCTTCCTTGGGCACAAGAGACCTCTACCTGGGTCCAATCATGCGCGTTTAATTGATGGGAAACTCCGCCCCAAAAATATTTTGACCCCACCCCTTTTTAATTGGGAGAGGGCCCGCAACTAGCGAGAGTGACAACCTGGGGTTGTTGTCATAGGGCTTGGCCACCAGAGCGTTTCCCACGCTTTTCCCCGTGGGAACGGTCAACCACTTAGCTCTCAGTCGGGACGTCTTGTAGTCTAATCCTTGTTCGGGGTATACCGCGGCTTTCTACGACCTTGCAGACGTCGCCACAGTTACAAAAGGATTAATGTCGGCGGCGACGTTCTAAGAAGAGCACCCCATTTTGCACTTCTCGGATCCCTTTCATGCGCCGCCGTTTCTCACGCTCAGTCGGGGAGTACGGCGCCCGTTAATTGCCGTGACGCGGTGTCGCCGAAAATAGCCGTCCGTGACAGCGTTACAATCGATGACGTTACATGCTATGTCCACTCGTGGTGTTAATCCTGTCCGATCTCTCTTCTGCGACGTTACACGTACTTAGCGGTATCGTTACCGTGTGCTGGTTATTTCCGTTAAAATGTATCCGCAACGGCGTTGCTCTGACTCCGTTCTTCTACGAAGTCACAGCAAAAAGTTCAGTTATGGTGACTTGTGGGCTGAAGATACCATGCTCATGGACGTAGCCGAAAATTATTTCTCGGGATGGAGAGGGGTTATGTTAAACTGCTTGTGTATATGCATACTGAAAATTGAAAATTAATCGGAGTGGTGTTCGAATCCCTTCAATATCCTCTGCGGCTACGGCAATGTTTGAGATGGGCTAAAGAACCACAGCTCCGATGTGTACACTCGACCTCTGAGCGTTCTACATTTATTGTGCAGTCGTCTTCAGGCCACGTTAATGCAGCTTTGAATCGTGAAAGGTTATCCACAATTTTTCTCTCGATTTTAATCTTGTTTTCTTCGTTTTTTTTTTTCATCAGGTTTTTGTAGATTCCTTGTCCCGGGCGGAGAAAAATACCGCCGTGATGATCAAAGCGAAACTGCACCAAGTGCTGACAATTCTCGTTCATAACGAAGGCAGAATGTCATCCGGAAAAGCCCTGGGTGAAAGAAAGGTGCGTAGTGTGACTGTCTTCCTTTATCGCGTTAGTGGTTTGACTTGTGGACCTATCAGTGATTAATCTTGCTTGTCTTCAATTCTGTACGCGATAGTCACGAACCCCTAAAGAAGCGAGAGAGAGACACACACACACACACACACACACACACAGAGAGACTAGCTCAGCGGCAGTTCTGGCTTTCACGTGTTGGTGTACAAGGAGCAAGGGCCTTCAATGGCTGAACTAGATTCTAGTAAGATGGTAAGTCGGGCCAGTTGGTTAGGATCCATCGTGAACTTTCTTACAGCGCAACACCAGAAAAAATACAGGACAGGGAAGGAGTAGAACAGAAAGAAAAGACGGCGCTGTTCTTTCTGTTCTACTCCTTCCCTGTCCTGTATTTTTTCTGGTGTTGCGCTGTAAGAAAGTTCACGATGAACTAGATTCGCCTTACTGTGAAAAGTGCAACTGACTGCGGCGATTCATTTTACTTTGAACATTTTACAGCAGCCCTGCATATAAATACGCTTCCATGAATTTTTTTTTTTTTGCGTCTATCAACAATAATGTCGGTACTCCAATCGTACTTGTATAGTTTTCACCGGCTAGCAATCAAACGTGGCAGAGCATTAGGAATTGAATTGTGACAATTGCACGCATATTAAGTTTCATCTTCTGTATCGCAGGATAAGGGAGATTCCTGGAGGGTTAGTGGGAGGCGTTCCGGCATATATGTTCCGGCGGTGGACATATGTAAACGCTGACGATGATTTAGAGTATCATCATCAGCAGCAGCTTGAGTACGCCCACAGCAGTGCAAAGGAATCTGCCGTGTTTCGTCAATCGACCCGATCCTGCGCTTTCTACTGCCACGTTATACCATCAAACTTATTAATCTCATCTGCCCATCTAATTTTCTGTCCCCCCCTCCCCTTACACGTTTGCCTTCTCTTGGAATTCAGTCTGTTATCCTTAATGACCAACGGTTATCCGGTATATATGATTACAGTATGGGCTAATATCAAAATGTCCACATTGTTTTTTTCTCATCTGACAGGGGATTGTGTACAACGTGACGTTGGACAAGCTACTGCTGACAAACTGGACCATGCGGCCAATCCCACTCACCAATGCTAGCTGGCTCACAGATTACGACAAGATGCAATCAATCCGAAAGAAGATCCCCCTGAAAGGCGTCGTCAGTTCGTCCTTCGAGGTGCGCGTATTTGCTGCCGAGTTCGAGGTTCCTTACGCCGAGCCGTGCGACACGTTTCTGAGACCTGACCAGAAGACGAAGGTAAACAGCACCAGGACGGTCCTGCGTGTTTCCTCACTTCATTGTATATCTTGCAGCGAATAGCTGTTCGCCTTATGTATCTCATGCGCGAATCCAGATGTGCTTATAGGAATTCAGAGATCTGACCACGAGAGGTGGTTGTTGGTGATACCGATTGCTCCGATGCTCACAAATAATAATCGATAAATCGTTTCAATCAATCAATCATTTATTTAACGTGCCCTAAAACAACCATGAGTTCTTAGTGCAGGCGCACGCAAATAATAATAATAATAATAATAATAATAATAATAATAATAATAATAATAATAATAATAATAATAATAATAATAATAATAATAATAATAATAATAATAATAATAATAATAATAATATAATAATAATAATAATAATAATAAATTACTCAGTCGATCATTTATTTAACGTGCCCTGGGACAACTATGAGGTCTTACTGCAGGCACACGCAAAAATAAAACAATACAAACAAACAATACAATACAGAATCTCTTCACAAAAATCAAATAAGAAGAGTGAAAACACAGAGAAGAAATGAATCCGTGAAAAATGGGAAGAATGAAATTACAAGACGAGAATCATAGAAAGCAAGTGAAAAATAAAGGGAAATATACACAACTATATAGAAACCTTCCTGAAAGACGGAAGAGGGAAGAATCTGTACATTGTGAAAAACTATGTTTAGACAGTGCAGAGCTGAGAGGAAAACAATGACAGCGGAGTGCGAAAAACATCAAGATCATGATAGTTAACATTATAGAGACGTCATATTCTGTGAATAGCAGAGTGTTGAAAGGTGTTGGCAGGTACATGAAACTGTCGATTCTCTCTGGTTAACTTTCGTGGAATCCGAAAATTTACACAACTGAGAAGTAGTGGGCAAGATACTATACTGTAAACTAGTTTGTTGAAAAAAAAAACAGGTCAGCGCGATTTCGTCGGCAGTGAAGTGATGGCAATTATAATAGTCTGGCAGTGTGGGAACGAGATCCAGATTCATTTATATAGCGAAACGATGATTGTAAATGCTTATGAATTTTTCAGGACTCGCTCAGTTGTATCCCTGCCAGACTTAGCAATGCCATTTCAGATCACGGGTGCATATTCAATTTGAGGAAGACATACTGCGGTGTATAACTTGGGGAAGGCTATTAGAGAACTCAATTCTCGAGGCATTCTACAAACGCAGCCGAGAGAACAAAGGCCAAGCATGGCTGCACGTTTAGTGTGAGTAGAAAAATTTACCATGCTATCAAAAAAAAAAAGAACACCAAGATCGCTGAATTCATAAACCTTACATAATGGCATGGTATTGACAGAGTATGAAAACAACACGATGTCTAGCGAGATATATGTCTAGCGAGATATATGTCTAGCGGATGTCTGGCGGATATATGGATGATATATGTCTAGCGGATATATGGATGTCTAGCGAGATATATTCATGAATTTGGTCTTTGAGGTATTCAGACAAAGGCTATTGTTGTCACACCATTCGGAGAAAGAACACAAATCTGACTGCAGCAAGCGACAGTCGTTAACTGAATGCGTTTTTCTGAATACCTTGACGTAATCAGCATACAAGTGCAAAAAAAAAAAAAAAGAATAACGAATCGCAGAAGAAACATCGTTAACGTAAATATAAAAACGAGAGCGAGCCTAATACCGACCCTTGAGGGACTCCGCTATTGTGGTCAGTTTGTATAAGGAACACTTTTGACCATTTACGGCAACATATGATCTATTAAGCAGATAGCTGAGCAAAAGATTCTCAACAGACGAGTAGTGAATAATAATAATAATAATAATAATAATAATAATAATAATAATAATAATAATAATAATAATAATAATAATAATAATAATAATAATAATAATAATAATAATAATAATAATAATAATAATAATAATAAATTCTTTCCGTTGTGGCACAGAGAACACAAAATGACACTAAACCAGCACGTACCTTCAATTCAGATCAAGGAAGTGCGCCCCCCGAAGCAAGTTTCTGCCTGTGCCACTGCCTGGTGCGTGTGGCAACCTTAATAATAATAATTTCACGTCCCGAAAACATATGATTATGCGAGACGCCGTAGTGGAGGGCTCCGAAAATTTTGACCATCTGATGTTTTTTTAACGCGCACTGACATCCGATCTCATAATGTTATGTAAAGTCGACCCGGTCCTACAAAGCATTAGCACGAATATGGGTGCTGTCAATTAAGCTAGCTGCTTTGAGAGCACCAACGCCAGCCGCTCTGAACTGGTGCGCGTATTCAACATCTGTAAACTGTCCTGCTATGATCCGGCTTGCCTCTTCTTCTTCGTGCAGGGCATCGCGTTTCTGAACGGTTTCAACCTGGGTCGCTACTGGCCGGCGAGGGGACCCCAGAAGACTCTGTACGTGCCACGCACGCTGTTCAGGAAGAAGAACGTGCTGGTACTTATCGAGCTCGAAGGGGGTTTCCACAGGGGTGGCAGAGCCCCCGTCGTTCACTTCGAAGACGAACCAGAGCTCCTCGGGACGGTACACAAGATTGACGAATAAAACGTGATATAATTTGATTTTCGTTCGCTACATCAAGAATCCGATGTTCTCTCTCGTAAATTCTTTCCATCGTTTCTCAAAACGGGTTTTGTGTACTATTTTGTTAGACGTGAAATAAAGCGAGTCGTCCGCACAAAAAACGCTAGAAAACGGGACAAGAAGAGAGCAGAGTGTATTAGGGAACAAACGGGGGTTAAGGATATCATAGCTGAAATCAAGGAGAGGAAATGGGCATGGGCCGGGCATGTAGCGCGTAGACAAGATAACCGCTGGTCGTTAAGATTACCTAACTGGGTTCCCAGAGAAGGCAAGCGGGTTAGGGGCAGACAGAAGGTTAGGTGGGCAGATGAGATTAAGAAGTTTGCGGGTATAAATTGGCAGCAGCAAGCACAGGACCGGGTTAACTGGCGGAACATGGGAGATGCCTTTGTCCTGCAGTGGACGCAGTCAGGATGATGATGATGATGATGATCCACTGAGAGGACGCACTGTACCGGAAAGGAAAGTTGACACAAAACTTACCTGCACAAGTCGGGCGTACACGTGGACGGTCTATGAAAGAGAAAGCTGTTTATCCGTTTCATTTATTTTTTTATTTAAGTAAATTTAAAGCTGGATCACGCACTCGTTTTCACTGCTGTGGTACATGCCAAGCCTCGATCACTGGGCACGTTTCGTCGTTGTTGCGTATGAAATTGCTGCTCATTCTCGAACGTTTCGTTCACATGTACAACCACGACAACTGTACACTATACTAGACGGCTAACCTCCGATGAAGGACATTCTTCTCTGAATCAATCTTCGATTCAAGGGGAATAGCCAGAAATGTTTCTGAGCTCAAAAAAAGGAGAGTGGAGGGGGGGGGGGTGAATCAACCACTCTTTATGCATGTTTGTGTTCGTACTGCGTGTGTATGTGTGTGCATTTATGTGCACATGTAAAGTTGGAAATTTTTGGAGTGAGAGTTTGAACCTCTCTCTCCTTTTCCCCTCCACTTCGCCAATGCCTTGATTAATGTGATAGCATGTCTGTCCTTGCCTGTCTGCTTTTTTCTCGTTGCTTCGACGCTTTACGTTCTTCATGACGACTACTTACTAATTTTAATTCCTGTCACTCTAAGCTTCCTTTTATTTTGTATCAAGGCGGAAACGAAGCACAACATGTGCCACGTATTTTGTGAGCAACCACTGTTAGGCTATGTCGTGCGGGCTAACAGGTGTGCAAACGACAGAATTAGTGAACCGTTGAGTGCTGGTGCAGCTGTTGGACGAGGTCAAGTCATCCGCCACATAACCAGTAGGCGAACGCGATCCAAACCCTTATTTCACGGTGTGCGTATTGTAATTCCTTCGCACGACGTCTGAAATCAAATACGAACGTCGTTATCTCAATTTTTCGAATTAAGAATGTATTTTTTTTCCTAGCTGAACATTTCCATGGATCAGCTTTTATAACGTGTCTTGATTTTTTGGGTCAGCTGAAGCGGATGTACAAAAATGATTAAACACATCTTGTAGGCGTTACGTGTCTATAATATTGGGCTCGTACAGGTTTGAACATCGCGGTACAAGACGAACAGGAAATGCACAGAACAGACAGGGAAACAGGCCCATAACAAGAATACAAATTCATTGGAGCCCCTGTGTACACGTCGCGCTGAGCCTAGCGTTACGCAAGATTGAAAACATTCCAACGAAAACACGAGGCCTGTTTTCCACATCGTCTCATTTCTTTTTATTTATGACATCTATGACAAATCATATACGACTCATTTGACAATATTTCCATAATCCGCTTATAGCACTCAATAAATTCACTTAAAATGTCACATAAGAATGGGCACACAAAATTAACGAGGTTGGTTCGAAGTAAAGCGTCAAAAGTCAGTGAGACGGGAAGCTTAATAAAAACGTGAGACTTCAATGATAAGGTTAACGTTGGAACGACGATGTTTGGGTTAGTATAGAAAGTAATTTGGAACGCGAAGTTGAATTTGAATGTATACGTGCACAAATAAATTGGGAAGGGGGCAGTAGTGATATGTCAGATGATGTCGCGGTGACACCGAAAATTTCGCGTGCGAGGTGGTGTGATGGTAATCTTACTTTTGCCGCAGCCACACGATGACATAGTTTGTACAAGAGAAATGGCTTCATCTTCATTTCGGAGTATTTATTTGCCAGATTAATCCTCTCAGCCATACCCACTTAGTCGATATGTTGCTTATTGGTCACCTGCTGCACGGCTGCTTCGTGGAACTATGCAAACTTCCTGATGAAATGGATGACGTAACATTTATACAGTACATACATACAATTCTCACGGTCTCGGACGGCCCCTCGCGACCCATTCACTGGGTGTAGTGGATGTCGTAGGTAGGTGGAGCTAGCTGACACGTTTTATTGCTGCACGTAGGAGCAGGCTAGTCACCACTTTTATTTTACGTTATTTTTCTGCCCGGGCGACGGAGAGTTTAAGGTGGGGCCATTGCGCTCACCAACTGCGCAAAATGAAGCCGAATTCGACCTGCACCACGAGTTATGGATGAAGCATGCACTTATGTTACATGTACACGTTAGATTTATACACTGGCGTTTGAGCACTTCAAACGCGGTAACCTTGGAAAAACGTTGTAAGAAGGAGCTTCCGACCAATAGCCGTCATTTCATGCAATGAACAGCTACGACTTTGGAATCATCGTTACGCGACGCGCTTTTTTTTTTCGAACTCTCGTTACGTTGCAGACATGGCCATTAACACACAGTTTCGCAACGAGAGACGCCGGCTACCGACACTTTACATTCTTGCCAAAAGCGGCTCGTGGAACATACAACGAGCCAAGTTGTTTCGAAGTTCACATTTTTCTAGGTAGCGAGCACTATTTACCTTAAATTAAGATGTGCCTCTAATAGTCCTGGTGTGATAACTGTAGTTTACTGGGTTGATGTTCCCATAAATTAGAAGTACGCAAAGTATATGGGATCCAAATATATGTGCAAACAAGGTTTCAAATAACGCCGTGTGTCCAGTGCATAAGACGCCGGACGTACCTTCATAGCCCTTTCAATTCCATATAAAAAGAAATATAAAAGGCAACCATGGTTATATAGCCATTGCTTAAAACGCCTGGGCTTAATAAAAAAAAGGCAGAGTTACGCCGCAATGGCGAAGCAATGAATGCGATAGCAAGGAATTGAAATGTCACACGAAGATCGACGAGCTGCTCAATTCTTTCAGCTTCCCGCCGAAGCCCAAAGAAGGCCGCTTGAAAAGGACGCGCAGGTATACATATTGCCGCGCGCTTGAGCTGCCAGCGCAAAAGAGGCAGACGAAGTGGCAGTTCCCCTCGTGCCATTGTTCTGTTTTTGGCTGCGCTGAGCCGACCGCTCTTCGGACTTTTGTGAGGACGCCTTAAAAACGTCTCCTGTCTCTTTAACGTGACATTTTAATGGTGGAGGTGCGGGGGTAACCTCCCCTATGCAACAGACTCCTTCTAGCAGCCGGAACGTGACCCAAAACCCAGAGCTTACGCCGGTACACCGTTTCAGTCGGAGGATTCGAGGACTGTCCCCCGAGTTTGTGCCTCACAGTACAAGTACGTCGACTGGTATGGAGAATACTGTTGCTGTCACCGCTTCCCCTACCGCTGGAGCCGCCGCTGCTCCAACCGCTGCACCCGCAGCTGCACCCACTCATTACACGCTACAAAAACCACGTGTTCCGAGTCCCTTTCGTGGTGGCCTCTATGAAGATGTGGAAGATTGGCTGGCTGAGTACGAGTACGTAGCGGATTTCAACGGGTGGGACGAAGTAGCGAAGCTCAAGAATGTGTACTTTAGTCTTCTGGATGGTGCTCGCACATGGTTCCAGAACCGCAAGGGCCTCCTAACGTCGTGGCATGAGTTCTGTCACAGGCTCCGCGAAACGTACTCGAGTCTCGATCGTCGAGAGCGCGCTGAAAGGGCCCTCCAGTCCCGCATGCAGATGCCTAATGAAGGTGTGGCTACATACGTGGAGGATATGGTTCATCTGTTCACTCGCGCCGATCCAACCATGCCGGAAGACAAGAAGCTGCGACACTTGATGCGAGGTGTGAAAGAGCAGCTCTTCGCTGGACTCATTCGTAGTCCGCCTAGAACGGTCGCGGAGTTCCTCACTGAAGCCGTCGCCATGGAAAAGGCGCTGCAGCAGCGGAACCAGTACGATCGGCAAGTGAATGCTACCTATACCACCGGGCTAGGCTCGTTCCCGACCGACGTGGGAGCGCTTCGCGAGCTGATACGTTCGGTTGTTCGCGACGAGCTACAACAGCTGCAACAGCTGAACCAGGCGCAGCAGCAGCCTTCCACGAATTGCATCGCCACCATCATACGTGACGAAGTTCAGCATGCGCTCGGCACACCTCGCCGCGAGACACCAACGCAGGTTGCTGCACCACTTCAGGCGTTCGCAACTTCAAGTGAACCTCTAGGGGTGACCTACGCAGACGTATTGAGACGCGCCGTTCCGTCGTCCACGACACCATCCCCAGTGAGTGGTTTCCAGCGCACCACTTATACCGACACGTTCGAACACAACGCACCTGCACCAGTCCCACTACCAGCCGCAACCCCGTACGCCACACTGCAGTCCGCACAGGTGGTCCCTTATTTTGCAGACACTCGACCCGTCATGCGTAAATCCGACATATGGCGCATGCCCGACCGACGACCGCTTTGCTACCACTGCGGTGAAGCGGGTCACCTCTACCGAGACTGCCAGTACCGCCGACTTGGGCTGCAGGGTTTTCCTGCCAATTCACCCCGCCCCCGGTTTGGACAGAGACCACCAGAAATTGAAGATTTTATCGCTCGGCAGAACGTCCCACTCAGGCGTCAGTCGCGCTCACCGTCACCGCGGTCGTCATCTTATTCAGGCAACGGAAATCGAAGGCCGCAAGGACGGTCTCCGAGCCCTCGCCTGGAAAACTAACGCCAGCGACCTTTCGAGGCGAGGCCGCT